AGAATATACACTAGACACCCAGGAAGCTTCCGAGTCAGCCAGGCCTCTCACTGCCCGTCTCTGCCCTTCCTCCACCAGCAGCTGAACTCCATCAGGAGCTAAAGATTACAGATCACAGGTGTTTGAACCAAGGGGAAGGTGAGGGATTGTGGAATTTAACTTCCTTACTTTACAGATGAAGAAACTGAGCCCAGAGAGATTGAGTGGCTTGCCAAGGTCACACAGCACGTTCACAGCTAAGTCTTCCCCATGAAGGTTTTACTGACTGAACAGAATCACAAGTCCATTCCCTTTGATCAGGATTGCACACCAGGGCCGTGCAGGAATCAATGAAACCTGGGGCAGGCCATCATGGGATTCCCGCTGGAGGGAAGGGAGGCCGTTGGGGACTTGCTGGGAAAAGCTCAGACTTGGTGCCAGACGGCTAGGGTGGAGTTCAGGCACCAGCACCCGTTAGCTGCTTGGATGAGTTATTTAACCCCTCTCAGTTTCCTCGTCTGTAAAATTGGGACCAGAACGGTAGTACCTACTTCATAGCATTGTGGTGAGAACTGGGAGAGTTAATGTGTAAAAGGCCTGGAAGAGTGAAAACATTGAAAGTGGTGGTGATGGTGATTGCGATGGTGATGATGATGGTGACGGTGACGGTGATGAAGGGAGAAGAGAGGAAATGCTGTTCATCTGGGGACCAGACAGGCACCCGGAGGAAGGCTCCAGGACAACACCTAGAACGCATACGTATCTTTTTTTTTTTTTTTTTTTTTTTGAGACAGAGTCTCGCTCTGTCGCCCAGGATGGAGTGCAGTGGCGTGATCTCGGCTCACTGCAACCTCTGCCTCCCGGATTCAAATGATTCTCCTGCCTCAGCCTCCCAAGTCGGTGGGATTATAGGCACCCACCACCACGCCCAGCTAATTTTTTAATATTTTTAGTAGAGACAGGGTTTCACCACGTTGGTCAGGCTGGTCTGGAACTCCTGACCTTGTGATCCTCCCACCTCAGCCTCCCAAAGTGCTAGGATTACAGGTGTGAGCCGCTGCGCCCAGCCTTAAATATCTTTTTTATTAAAGCACTTGCTAGAACGTTTTTTAAAGAATTTCACTTGGTTTTCCAGCTTGTTCAGTCTTTCCCGAGAATGTTCTCTGAGCGCAGCCTAGGCTGTTGTGTGTGGAATCTGCCAAGACTCTCAGGCCCGGTACCTGCCCCCAGGGCCTCAGGGTCTGGCTGCACGAGTGCTTCCAGTCAGATCCAGGTGGTGTTCCTCTCTGCATCTCCAAACCCGGAGGAGCAGCAATGGGGTGGCTGGGAGCAGAGAGCATGGTGTGGAGTCAGACACATGGTTTGACGCCCCCTGCCAGCCGTATCACCCAGGACAGGGCATTTGCCCTCCCCTGACACTGACACCAGGAACGTACTCGACTCTCGTGATGGGGCTGTGCGGAAGATTAACCGCAATATCTTGATGAAACATCCCGAGAGCTAAGTATGCAGCAGGTGCTCCGTAGTTGGCAGCTGCTGTTAATAATGAATGTTGAGTGTGATGAGTGGGGAAATCGAGATGCTGCTTGACCTACAGTGGGGTTACCTCTCAATAAACCCATTGTAGGCTGAAAACATCCTAAGTCAAAAATTCATTTGATACCCCAATCAGCCCACTGCAAACTTGAAACATCGTAAGCTGAACTATCCTGTCTCGACCATGTGCGTGAAATTTCCAAGTTAGGACAAGGAAGTGGTGAGCACCATGGTCTGGCTCTCTGTGCTCCTGCACCAGGAACCCTCCCACTGGAAGAGCTGCCCGAGGGTCTGCTGCCCTGGGCACACCTTCGACAGGCCCAGCCTCCTCCACAGATCAGTAACACCCACTCTGAGCACTGAACACAGGCCAGGAAGGCACTGGGCTAAACCCTTTACATAGATTAGCTCATCTCAGCTTCACAACAGCTCTAGAAAGCTAGTCCCATTCTCATCCTCATGCTGTGAATGAGGAAATTGAGGCTCAGAGGCACAGAGAGAGGAGAGACTTGTTCCCCAGACTCTATAGGCAGGAAGTGGCAGCGCCGATACTCAGAACTGGAGCAGTAGAAAGTTACCGGTGACTGAAACCCATCCTGAGTTGTATAGCACTGAAGGGCAGATCTTCAGAGCCCCACTCACCATAGGTGCCACGTCAAGCTGTCTTAGCCCTTGAGACTTAGCCAGAGGAATGACTCCTTTGAGGCAGACTGCCCTGCTGATGGGCAGCCGGGATGAAAGAGACATGGGAATGAAAGGTCAGGAGTTAAGAGGTGAGGGCAAGGTAAAAGATCCTTACTGATCTCTCACGCTGGCTGGACATCTCTCCCACAGCCTCCTGAGGCTGCCCTGCCTGCAACAGATTAAATGATTGGCTGGGCATGGTGGCTCATGCCTGTAATCCCAGCACTTTGGCTGAGCCCGTTGGATCACTTAAGGTCAGGAGTTCAAGACCATCCTGGCCAACATGGTGAAACCTCGTCTCTACTAAAAGTACAAAAGTTAGCTAGGGGTGGTGCTGCCTGTCTGTAGTCTCAGCTACTCAGGAGGCTGAGGCAGGAGAACTGCTTGAACCCGGGAGGTGGAGGTTGCAGTGAGCCGAGATCATGCCACTGCATTCCAGTCTGGGCAACAGAGCAAGACTCTGTCTCAAAAAAAAAAAAAAAAATTGATCAGATGATTGACAACTGGAGCATCCCTTTTCACCCGGGCCGGAGCTCTGCACACTTCCCTGCTGATGAGAATAACCTTCCCCTTCCAAGGCCCATGACTCCTAGAGCAACAGCGACAGGATCTTGCAGATTCAGGGGAGACTTATCACAGGCCGTGATGACTTCTTCACAAGGAGTCTTGAATCGGGGGCAAGGACAGCTTTTTCAAAACACACCTATTTCTTAAGAGATGGGATCTTGCTATGCTGTCCAGGCTGGACTCAAACTCCTAGGCTCAAGTGATCCTCTTGCCTCAGCCTGCTGAGTAGCTGGAACTATAGCCTTGAGCAACCAGCCCAGCTAAACACACCTATTTTTTAACACCCAGCAACAACTTCTCACAAGCAATTTGAACACAACCTTTCAGTATTAAAATATAAAGCAGTCTCCTTGACCCAGTGCCGTAAAGCCAAGAGTAAACCCAAGTCAGACAGATGGAAATGAAAATATTGTACCTGCTTCCTAACTGATAACGCTGGATGGTGAACACAGAGGTTAAGCTTTGAAGCCACATGAACTTGCTACTCCACCTCGTCGCCACCCAGATTAAACCCCTTCCCCAGCCACAGATAAACTGGCCGGCTGCCGCTCTGCTGAGAGCCCAGCAATGGGCCACTTTGCCCCCCGCTCTGCAGTGAGACAGGGCTACAAGGAGGCAGAGCTTCCCTGTGGCCCACACGGTAGAAGGCTGATTCCCAGCAGACCCCTGTTCCCTGGGCCTGTCGCCTTGCCTCCCTGGCCAGCTGGCGGGCTACACTACGGTGGCCAGGTCCCACCGTCTCTTTAAGCTTGGTCTTCTCCACAAATGGGCAGCTATTAATGACAAGTGTCTGTCATTCTTTGTCATTCTTATCCTGTCTTGGAAATGCTAGAAAGTAGCAAATGTTGTCTTGTGTTCCCTTTCTGGCTCATTTTTTTTTTTCTTTTTTTTTAAAGACAGAGTCTCACCCTCTCACCCAGGCTGGAGTGCAGTGGTGCTATCTCAGCTCACCGCAGCCTCCGCCTCCCAGGTTCAAGTAATTCTCCTGCCTCAGCCTCCTGAGTAGCTGGGATTACAGACATGCACCACCACCCCAAGCTAAATTTTGTATTTTTAGTAGAGACACATTTCGCCATATTGGTCAGGATGGTCTCAATCAAACTCCTGACCTCAAGTGATCTGCCCACTTCGGCCTCCCAAGTTGCTGGGATTACAGGCATTAGCCACCAGGCTTGGCCCCTCTCTAGCTCAATCTCCATTCTCTAGAACTAAGGAGCTCAAACTTTTTTGAGTGGCAGCAACACGCAGAACATTTTTACATTACGACCCCCAACACGCAAAAAGTCCCTTACCCTCACAATGCACAGTGCATTCTGACATTCTCTATCTTATTTATTTTATTATTTATTTTATTTTATTGAGACAGGGTTTTAATCTGTCACCCAAGCTAGAGTGCTGTGGCACGACTGTAGCTCACTGCAGGGTCCAACTCCTGGGCTCAAGTGATCCTCCCACCCTGGCTCTTCTAAGAGCTGGGATTACAGTCATATGCCACTGTGCACGGCCTCTCTATTCTATTCCATTTCAATTTTTAAAAAATGAATGGACCACGTGCTATGGCTCACACCTGTAATCCCAGCACTTCAGGAAGCTGAGACACGAGGATCACTTGACCCCAGGAGTTCAAAACCAGCCTGGACAACATAGTGAGACCCCCATCTCTATTTAAAAAAAAAAAAAATTAGCCAGGCCTGGTAGCCTGGTAGCCTCCTAGCTACTCAAGAGGCTGAGGTGGGAGGATCCTCTAAGCCAGGGAGGTTGGGGCTGCAGTGAGCTATGATCACGCCATGCACTCCAACCTGGGTGAGGAGAGTGAGATCCTGTCTCAAAAAATCATAATAATAATTGATGGTTACATGATTATATGGGTTAGAATGAGAGAATGTGAGGTAGGTGGTGATGGAACCGACGTATGCCTTGATTGTGCTGGTGGTCACACACATGTATATACGTGATATTCATCGACTCATGCAGTTAGAAAAATAGATTTCATGTATGTTCAGTTTAAAAGTAAAGTTTTTTTAAGAAAAAAGATTGATGGCTGCAACCCACTAAAAAAAATTCCTATCACTCAGGGGTTCCAACCTGGAGTATGAAAATTCCTGTCCATAAAACCGATGATACTGGATAGCCAGAGGAAGAAAGCTCCATTGCTCAGGCTTCGGGTGGGTGAGCTGGGAGAAGGGAAAGGGTGGGAGGCTTCACTTCCTGACCCTCCTCTCTCCTCTCTGCAGTCACTTCCTGCCTCGGACAGCTCAGCCTGGAGGACCCAGGTAAGGAAGAGCCGCGTGGAGAAAGGCCTGGGGCCGGGGGAGAGTGGGGCCACGGTTTCATCAGGCCATAGGGGACCTCTGGATGAAGCCATCACTTCTGCGGGAGTGAAACCCACCCTACACAGAGAGTGACCCCCAGCATACACACAGACACATAGATGCAGACACACACACATGTAAGATGCTCACGTCCACATGGGTCCCCTCAGCAGCCGTGAATCACCCACAAATGCCAGATCCCAGGATAATTATTATTCTGACCCGCTCACCACGCACAGAAAACATCCCAGCTCATAAATGTTCCCTGCAAAGTCCTGTTTCCTACCCAATCCTGCCAGACACCCCGTGGTCAAAGATGCAGAGAGAGGCTGCAGACTGATTAGCAAGTGTGTTGAATGCCCAGCCCGAGAGGTTGGACTTTAGTCGTAGAGGCTGTTTCCCAAATAGGGCTCCATGGTGCATGTTGAACAAAGGGCAGGCAATGCCATCTCCCGCTGGAGGCTGACAGTGTACACCAGCCCAGTAAAGGCTCTGAGAAATCCTGCAGTGAGGAAATACATCACACTTTTTAACCCAGCAGTTTCCACCTTCATTTCACCACAGCCCTCTCCTTCACATTGACTGGGCTAACATCGTGCTGAATGTATCTGGGGAGAATTGTGGCTGAAGGGTCTTGAGAAGCCACCGTGCAGCCAGAGGCGGTGACAGGGGCCTTAGCAGGCCTTGAGCCCGACCTGGACCCTGCACTGACATCCCGGCTCCAAGCTGTGGCACACAGCTTGACCTCCTCGAGCCCTAGTTTCCCCAGCTGTGAAATGGGAGGAAAATCTCTCACCTGGTGAAGCTGCAATGAGTCAGCTCACTGGGCAGACAGCCTGCAAAGCGCCCCACCAACGCTAGGTGTTGGCACGCACTCACTCTGCCTCTGACTAGCCAAGTGTCCTTGGCAAGCCCTGGCCGTGAGCCATGGCCCCAGAGTGTCCTCATCAGAAGAAAAGGGCAGCCTGACCAGTGGTTCCCGACCAGGGAGAACCTCCCCTCAGTCACCTGGGAGAGCCTTTCACATTTCCAAAAGTTTCTTGAATCAGTGACACATTCATCTAGCTCTAAAATTTAAAAAAATATAAAGATCTATAGTGAAGAGCCTCACTTCCATCTCTACTCCCGTCTGGCCCAGTCACCCCCACGACGACCCCAGCACCCCAGGTAATGACCACGTTTGTTTCTTGCATATTCTTCAAGAAGCTCTTTATGCAAATACACACACCACACACACACACATACACACACCACACACATACCCCGCCACACCACACACACACCCCACACATACCCCATAATCACACCATATACATATAACACACCCACCACACACCCCCCCACACACACACCACACAGCACACACACACCCCGCCACACCACACACACACCCCACAACCACACCATATACATATAACACACCCACCATACACACCCACACACACACCACACCACATACACACACCACAGCACACACACGCACACCCCCACACACACACCCACAACCACACCATATACATATAACACACCCACCACACACCCCACACACACACCACACCACACACACACACCACACACACACACACCCCACAACCACACCATATACATATAACACACCCACCACACACACCCCCACACACACCACACCACACACACAGACCCCACAACCACACCATATACATATAACACACCCACCACACACACCACACCACACCAAACACACACACCCCACACACCCCACAACCACACCATATACATATAACACACCCACCACACACACACCACATAACGCCACACACACACCCCACAACCACACCATATGCATATAACACACCCACCACACACCCCCACACACACACCCCACACACCCCACAACCACACCATATTACATATAACACACCCACCACACACCCCCACACACACACCACACACACACCCCACACACCCCACAACCACACCATATACATATAACACACCCACCACACACACACACACACCACACACACACAGCCACACCACACACACACACACAACCACACACACACACACCACACACACATGCATATTTTTCCCCTCATGGAGTTTGATAAAATTACACAAGCCACAGGTCTACCCATGACCCAGCAATTCCACTCCTAGGTGTTTACCCAAGAGAAATGGAAACATCCCCACACAAAGACCCGTATGTGAATGTCACAGCAGCTTTATTCATAGTAGGCAAAACCCAAAAACAAACCAAATAGTGAATGGAAAACAAACGTAGCATGTTCATATAGTGAACTATCACTCAGCAACGAAAAGGCATGAACGGCTTATGCGTGCAGTGACGTAGCTACATCTCAAATACACGCTAAGCGAAAAAAGCCCAAACAAAATAAAATACGTGCTGCATGATTCCATGTCTATGACATTGCAGCTCAGGCAGACTCCTCTCTCGGGACAGAAAGCAGATCAGTGTTTGCCTGAGGCTGGATTCAGGGAAATTAACTATAAAGGGGCATTAGGGAACTTTCTAGATGATGGAAATGTTCCATATCTAGATTATGGTGGTGGTTACATGGAGGTATACGTTTGTATATGAAATTCCATCGAACAGTACCCTGAAAATGAATGCATTTCACTCTATGTAAATTGTACCTCAATAAAATTAATTTTTTTTTTGAGACGGAATCTCCCTCCGTCACCCAGGCTGGGGTGTAGTGGCGTGATCTTGGCTCACTGCAACCTCTGCCTCCAAGGTTCAAGCAATTCTCCTGTTTTAGCCTCGGAAGTAGCTGGGATTACAGGCACGAACCACCACACCCAGCTAATTTTTCTTTTTTTTTTTTTTTTTTTTAGTAGAAATGGGGTTTCACTATGTTGGCCAGGCTGGTCTCAAACTCCTGACCTCAAGTGATCCACCCGCCTTAGCCTCCCAAAGTGCTGGGATTATAGGCATGAGCCATGCCTGGCCTAAAAATAACTTTTAAAGATCTTTTAAGAAGCAGACACCAAGCCCAATCTCAGTCCCGTTGAGACAGAATTTCCAGGACAGGGGTCATCCAGCTAGACAGTGGGTGGTGAGATTACCTTGCCCATTTCTCTGAGCTCCCGTCTGGCTCTGAAATCTGGAGCCCCACCCTCCTGGGTCCAGCTTCAGGGCTGCCTGGGTCAGGGCCGCCCTAGCCTGAGGTTCTGGGAAGCCCCTGCAGTGCCTCAGAAAGGACGAAGCTCACAAGGGGTGAGGCAGCAGCCCACAGGGCAGGATGGAGCTTGGGTGGGCATGCGGCCTGGTAGGAAGAGGGCAGTGAGGGGTCCCGGTGGGGAGCGTCTCCCAGCCTGACCCCCACCACACCTCTCTGACCCCCAGATTTCCAGGTGAGGCTCACCAGCTCCAACTCAAGGTGCCAGGGCCAGCTGGAGGTCTACATCAAGGACGAGTGGCACATGGTTTGCAGCCAGAGCTGGGGCAGGAGCCCCAACCACTGGGAGAAGCCCAGACAAGTGTCAAAAGTCTGCCATCAGCTGCACTGTGGGGTGGCCTTAAGCCTTGGCCCCTTCCCTATCACCTTCACACATCAGAGTCCAGTCATCTGCCATGGATACCTGGGCTCCTTCTCCAACTGCAGCTACAGAAGAACAGACCCGTGTCAACCTCTCGGGCTGATCTGCTTAGGTGGGTAACTAGCCAGCTACACGGGCACCCTGGGCCTGGGCACCAGCCCCGAGGAGACTGCCTAAGGCCTGTGATGGAGGGGCTGAGCAGGTAGGTGGAAGGGGTAGGGGGACCCCAGTTTATAACCACTCCCCAAGACATATACACAGAAGGAGGACTGGAAGGGGCCAGCACCCATCCGTAGGATGACAATAGGGGACTTAGTTCTGCCAGTTGCTGACTTCATCGGCTGCTCTGAGCCTCGATTCTCCCATCTGTGAAGTGGGGTGGTGCTTCCTGCCTCAAAGAAGGAGGGTTAGAGGCAACGTGTGGATCAAGCAGGCCTGGCGTGGCAAGTGGTACTCACGGCAGAGCTCCTGGTCTTCTCAAGACTGCGGCTGCCCCCGGCCCCGCCCACACCACATTCCTCCCTCACCAGAGTGTCTCATTGCAGAGCCCCAGATGACGACACCTCCACCCACAAGGCCCCCGCCCACCACAACTCCGGAGCCCACAGGTAAGAGGATTCTAAACCCACCGTGGGGAGTCAGAACTAGTGAATAAAAACCCCGGATGCCCAGTTGCATCTGAATTTCCGATAAAGGTGGAAACGTTTAGTATTGGTGTATGCTACGAAATATTTGGGACCCCACCACCTCCCAAGGCCAAGCGTTGGTCAGCAGCTGGGGCCAAGCAGCAAGGAGTGCCACGTGCTTGTCCAGGAAGCCCTGGGCGCTCAGGCCAGCTCCCCCTCCCGCTCTCTCCTTTCCCAGCTCCTCCCAGGCTGCAGCTGGTGGCACGGCCCGGGGGCTGGCATTGTGCTGGCGTGGTGGAGTTCTACAGCGGCAGCCTGGGGGGCACCATCATCTATGAGGCTCAGGACAAGACCCAGGACCTGGAGAACTTCCTCTGCAACAACCTCCAATGTGGCTCCTTCTTGAAGCATCTGCCAGAGCCCGAGGTAGCCAGAACCCAAGACGCAGGGGAGCTGTGGAAACGCAGGCCCTTGCCCATCCAATGGAAGATCCAGAACTCCAGCTGTACCTCTCTGGAGCAGTGCTTCAGCAAAATCAAGCCCCAGAAAAGTGGCCGAACTCTGGCCCTCCTCTGCTCAGGTACGTGAGAACCTGGCCAAGCCCCATGAGGCCTTCTGCTGCCCTAGGTGGGGTCACGAGCATCCCAGAAGGTCAGGGAGCATCGTGTGTGGCCTGGAAACCCCTGTGTGCAGAACAGGGTCTAAGGCACTGTGGAGAAGACAAGGGAAGCGGAGGCCTGGGCTTGGCCTCTCAGACGTAGGAAGGGGTGGGCTGCAGAGGATGCCTCCACACTCAATGCCTTGGGAGTCTCTGCAAAGCTACGCAGGCCAAGCCCCAAGAAACAACTGGCTCAGCTGCCACCTGGGGAGGGGAGTCAGTGGGACTTCCAGGAGAGGCAAGTTCTCTTCATGGGTTTGGGGGAGAAAAAAATGTCTGGGTAGGAACTGCGGCTTGTGCCAAAGATGGGACACTTGGAGGGGTGGGCCTTGCAGGAGGGGCATTGGTAAATCCCAAGAGTTGACATTGGAGCAATGGTGAGAGGTGGGAGGTCCCTGAAGTCTGAGAGACACCACCACGGTAAAGAGAATGACTGCCTGTAATCCCAACACTTTGGGAAGCTGAGGCAGCGGATCACCAGGTCAGGAGATTGAGACCAGCCTGGCTAACGTGGTGAAACCCGTCTCTACTAAAAATACAAAAATTAGCCAGATGTGGTGGTACATGCCTGTAGTCCCAGCTACTTGGGAGGCTGAGGCAGGAGAATCGTTTGAACCCAGGAGACAGAGGTTGCAGTGAGCCGAGATCGCACCACTGCATTCCAGCCTGGGCAACAGAGAGACTCCATCTCAAAAAAAAAAAAAAAAGAAGCCAGGCACAGTGGCTCAAGCCTATAATCTCAGCACTTTGGGAGGCTGAGGCAGGCGGATCACCTGAGGTCGAGAGTTCAAAACCAGCCTAATGGAGAAACCCTGTCTCTACTAAAAATAAAAAAAATTAGCCAGGAATGGTGGCACATGCCTGTAATCCCAGCTACTCAGGAGGCTGAGGCAGGAGAATCGCTTGAACGCAGGAGGCAGAGGTTGCAGTGAGTCAAGATCGCGACATTGTACTCCAGCCTGGGCAACAGAGCAAGACTCTATCTCAAAAAAAAAAGAATGATCCTGCTGTGTGATTGAGGGGAAGAGGCAGGTGAGACTGAGTCTGAGACCCCAATGGGCCAAACCAGTGTCAATGAAGAAAACTAAAGGGAAGAAACCGCAGCTGAAACGAAGGAAGAATCCTCGCAGCACGCCTCCCTCCTCTGGAGGCAGCGGCTTCCTATTGCCGGAGGCGTTCTTAGTGAAGTCCAGACGGTACTTACCGAGCGTACTTCGTGCAGGGACCATTCCTGGGCGTTCTAAATTCTTCACTTGACCTTGGGTCATGTGAAGTGGGTGTTATTATTACCATCCCTTTCACAGTGAGGAGGCTGAGGTTCAGAGAGGTTAAGCCTCTTGCCCAGAATTACAGAGTGCTTGCTGGGATTTCTGAACAAGCAAGGTCACTCTAGAGCCTGTTATCTGAGCTTCAGTGACTCAGTGTCACTGAACCCACAGCAGCTGGTTAGAAATGCAGGTGCTCAGGCCCCCGCCCGGACCTTCCGAATCAGAATCCACTTTGCAGCAAGGTCCTTGGTGATTTATGTGCACAAATCTAGGAAGCGCTGCTCACGGCCACCTGGCTGTCCTGCAGGCACAGCTGCCCCACATCGATGGGTACCTGGTGTGAATTAGTAAAACGCTGCCCGCTCCCAGCAGAAGCAGCCCCCAGGGGTCTCTTGGCCTCATGAGGGAAGCAGGGGCTGGCTCGAAGTCCCACCCCACCTCAGCTACGATCCTTCCTGCAGGCTACAGCCTGCCAAACCATACCCAGGGTTCTTGCCTTTGAAACTTCTTCTGAATAGATTTACTAGGGCTTTGAAGGTGGATGTTGCTATGGAAACTGGCCAAAGCTGGTGAGATCATAACTCACTGTGAACTGAGCATGCGTGGGCCTCAGCCATGGACTCCCAGGCCCCGCCTTGACAGGCAGAAATGAATAAGAGCCTCTGTTGAGCCAGGCCCCATTTGCTGAAAGTCTGGCCCTCGACATGTGGTGCCTGGGCAGCAGGATCTGTCCTCACTGTGAACTGCCAGGACTCAAGGCAAGAGGTCTTTCCAATTCCTGTGCCTCAGTTTCCCTCTTCTGAAAAGCACCCCCCCCCCACGACCCCATCTTCCCAAAGTGCAGCGGGAGAATGAGAGGATGTTTCCAAGTGGGAAGTGGACCTAGATGGAATCTATTTCCCATGCTCGTCTCTTACCTCCACCTGGCATGGGACCAACTCCCTGATGGTGGCTGGAGCAGCCTCCCTGCAGAGAGTACCTACGCTGCTGTGTCTCACGATGGTGCTGGCAGGTGACCAGAGGCACCAGAGATGGTGCTGGGTCAGGGGAAGAGCCACAGAGGGTGCCAGAGGAGGGAAGGACAGAAAGGAAGGCTGCCTCTCCTGGTGGTCCCACACAGTGCCTTCCCCTAGCCAAGGCCTGGCTTTGCCAGTGGCATGGGGCCCCAGGAAGCAGCACACAGGCTCAGGGCCACACCTGCCCCTCCTCTCCCATTGCTTCCCCTCTCAGGTTTCCAGCCCAAGGTGCAGAGCCGCCTGGTGGGGGGCAGCAGCATGTGTGAAGGCACCGTGGAGGTGCGCCAGGGGGCACAGTGGGCAGCCCTGTGCGACAGCTCTTCAGCCAGGAGCCCACTGCGGTGGGAGGAGGTGTGCCAGGAGCAGCGGTGTGGTGGTGTCAACTCCTATCGTGTGCTGGACGCTGGTGAGCCAACATCCCAGGGGCTCTCCTGTTTCCAGCAGAAGCTGTCCCAGTGCCACGAGCTTCAGGAGAAAAACTCCCACTGCAAGAAGGTGTTCATCACGTGTGAGTTAGCCACAGCCCACAGTGGGTGGAAGCAGTTAAACTCTGCCAGTGGCATGGGGTCCCAGGAAGCAGCGCACAGTTAAACTTTACCTCTAGGACCCGGTCAGGGTGTATGTCTCTAAAGGGCAGCCCTGGGGAGAGTCCCAGAGACCCAGAAAGGGATGGAGAGAGGGAAACTGGAAGGCCAGGGAGCAAGAGCACTCACAGCAACGAGCAAGAACAATAACAGGAGACAGGGTAAGCAACAGGCAGATCACTGTCAGGCAGCTGATGAGTCGTAGAATTTTTCCTTCTACCTTCTACTTTTGCAAGGTGGAAGCCAGAAAATCAAATGGATAGCACATATTTGTTACATGAATGGTAACTAAATGGCAAGTAAAAGAGAGAAATGGATGGATGGCTGGATGGATGGATGGATGGATGGATAGTTGGGTGAGTAGATGGATGATGGATGGATGGATGAATGGATTATATTGCATGAATGGATAGGTGGGTGAGTGGGTGGATGGATGGATGGATGGATGGATGGATGGATGGATGGATGGATAGACAGGTAAGTGGATGGATGGATGGATGGATGGATGGATGGATGGATGGATGGATAGACAGGTAAGTGGATGGATGGATGGGTGGATGGATGGATGGATGGATGGATGGATGGATGGATGGATAGACGGGTAAGTGGATGGATGGATGGATGGATGGGTAGATGGGTAGATGGATGGATGAATGGAAGGTGGATGGACAGATGGATGGATGAGAATAGATGCCTGGCTGGCTATTGGTATACAATCATATATTGGTTTGTGATGGTGTATAATGGCAAGATGATCACTAATGGCTGGCGAATGGTAGAAAATTAAATAGCTTATAACCAGTGTGGCAAATGATAGCTGGATGATGGCTTGTTAGATGATAAATGGTGGGTGGGTGAGTGGGTAGCAGGGAATTGTAGAGATGGTTGGAGGAAGAGCTAAATAGATCACTGCCTCCTGTTCATGCTGGTGAATTTCTGGGATGAGCAAGGGTGGCTGGCAGAAGCCAGGCAGCCAGCAGCTTCCCTCCCACAGTTTTTCTCCTCCAGGGCTGACGATGACCTAACTCTTCCCCTTCTCCAGGCCAGGATCCAAACCCCACAGGCCTGGCTGCAGGCACCGTGACAAGCATCATCCTGGCCCTGGTGCTCCTGGCGGTGCTGCTGGTCATGTGTGGCCCTCTTGCCTACAAGAAGCTGGTGAAGAAATGTAGGTGTGATGGCCCTGAGTGGCTCTGTCCCTGCATGCAGAGACTGGAGGGGCTGTACTAGAGTCCCCAGGAGGAGGGATCCTGCCTCCAGAGAGCTGGGCACAGGGCACCTCTGCTTCACCACCCAACCTTCCCCTCTCCTGCCCATTAGCCTTTTTCTGCCCCAAGTAACAGAAACAGAAAGTAACCAAAATTGCAATTGCTGATTTGTCTATCTCTGGAGACCAGCTGTGACCCACTCCAGATCAGAGAGGGTGTGGCTGTTCCCGAGGCTGTGGCAGGCCCAGAGCGTGTTCAGCACGGCCTCTGGTGGCAGGAGACACACGTCCCAGGCCCAGCTCCTCTACTTACCACTGCCCAGGATGCTGATTAGGACACTTCCTCTCTCTGAGCCTCAGTTTCCTCATCTATCAGATGAGCGATCACACACCTTGTGAATGCGGGGGGAGTTGTTCTCCTTGCCTTGCAGAACTCAAGAAGAAATTATTCAGACAAGAAAGTGTGAGGGGAGAGACTGTAAACAGAGGGCCCAGCAGGGCAGTGTTGGGTCCTAGTGCCTGCCCAGGTCTGGTTCTAAACACCTGTGGTCTTTTCTCCTGGGGAGCCAGGAACCTCTACCCAATCCTTAGCCTGCTCCTTTGGCACAGGATGGCTCGAGAGCAAGTTAGGAAACCGAGGCCCCCAAGAGACTCCAGGAGGCAGAGCCCAGCAGCCCTGCCCTCAGCTGCACCTGCTGCCACCACCTCCCTCCTAGGCCCTGCCCTACCCCCACTCCTACCTGCCCCACCCCCACCTGCCCCCACCACCCTGATGTGCCTTTCCTTTCCCTTGCCCAGTCCGCCAGAAGAAGCAACGCCAGTGGATTGGCCCAACAGCAATGAACCAGAACAGTAAGTGTCCTAGACACAGGGCCCCCCTCGGCCCCTGGACAGAGGCCATGCAGGCAGAGTTTAGGCTCTCTCTGCTGAACACAGATGGAGCCTGTGGCTGCTTGAGGCCTCTGATCTCCACGGTGCTCGTCTGAGGTGTGACTGTGGCCAATAGACATCCCCACACCGGGGAGAGCAGAGGCTTCTTGATGGGCAGATGGCTCAGCGGTTTCTACCACTGAAGCCTCAGAGTGTAGAAACATCTCATGGTATCCTTTCTGCCCCTCGCCTCATCTCTGGGGTCCCCATCGCCTTCGCCTCCTCCAGCAGCATTACCAACATAGTGGCCAATGGATGCTAACAGGCAGCACTCACACAAGAGGCCTCTCTGATCAACGGACCTGGAAAACCATAAGTCGGGCACAGCTAAGCACAGCTCTTTATTCCGGGGCTTATCAGAACCTTAATGGGTGTTTTCATATTGCCCATCTCCAAAGCAAGGACACATTAAGAAGGGCTGTCCAAGCTACTTTCAGCATGAATAACTGACAGGGCCAGTGTCAGGACATTGGGTGCAGCCAGCCCGACCCCATCCCTGGTCTTCCTACTCTGTCCTTCCAGCCACAGCCAGAGCCACCCTAATGGATGGAGACATGCGTTCCTCCCGCCTCCCATTCCACCTTCTTCCCCCTTGCCAAGTCCAGGGCCAAATCCTTCAAAAAGGCTCTGTGTTGTCCAGTCTTTTTCTTTCTTTCTTTCTTTCCCCTGAGACAGTTTTGCTTTATTGCCCAGGCTGGAGTGCAGTGGCTCAATCTTGGCTCACTGCGACCTCTGCCTCCTGGGTTCAAGCAATTCGCCTGCCTCAGCTTCCCAAATAGCTGGGATTATAGGCACCTGCCACCAAGCCTGGCTAATTTTTGTATTTTTAGTAGAGATGGGATTTCATCATGTTGCCAGGCTGGTCTTGAACTCCTGACCTTGTGATCTGCCTGCCTTGACTTCCCAAAGCGGTGGGATTACAGGGCTGTCCAGCCTTTCTTAATAACACACAGGCCCTCAGCTCCTGGAGGGCAGGAGTGTAGCTGTCCCGTCACCTGTGCTCCCATCTCCTGCTTGGTAAACGCCTGATGACCGACTGACCGGCTCATGGAAGGCCCCACCCTAGTCAGATTGCTGGGTTACCCAAATCTGCTCTCAAATCTGCTGCTGATCCTGCTAGCGTGAACCTCCCGGGAAGAGAGGCAAGGGGGATGCAGTGCAGGGGCTGTGGGTGCCTCTGCTCTCTCTCTGCTAACATCAAGGGAACAGGAGATTAACGTTCTGGGCACCTCCTGGGGGAGGAGGTAGAGGACAGAGCCACAAGTCTAACGACACTGCCTCCGCATCTGCCCAGTGTCTTTCCATCGCAACCACACGGCAACCGTCCGGTCCCATGTTGAGAACCGTACAGCCTCCCACGTGGATAACGAATACAGCCAACCTCCCAGGAACTCCTGCGTGTCAGCTTATCCAGGTAAGCACCAGCGGGGCTCCCAGGCACGCAGGCTGCCAAGGCAGGTCACATGATGCCCTTGAAGGTCAGGTGATGGCCCAAAGAGAGAAGGGAGACCCCAGGGTGCAAGGGATCAAACGAGGCAGGACGCAGCAGGAGTGCGGAAGGGATGCAGCCTTTACAGGCGCCAGCTGTCCCATCTGAGACCACCAACTACTCAACTGGAGAGAAGAATGCACTCAGAGAGCCATTAACCCCAGCCTTGCTGTGACCTAATGGGCCTGTTTGGCTGCAGAGCCTTGAGGGGCCTGGATGGTAGATGAGGCCCCTTGGATTCCTTCGAGCCAGAAGGGAGCCATTAAGTGGGCTGCAGAAGCGGGTACTGAAGGCTCCCTTACTGGCGCTATCAATTAAGCCCCAGGGAGCCTGGAGTTCAGCATCATTAGTGAACGTTTGGCTGATTTGATCAGAACAGATACGAAGCTGCTGCCGGCTCCGAAAGCCCCTGTGATCTTCCCGCCCACTGTGGGCAGCGGCTCTCGGATGCAAGGGGCTCTGTGGAGTCTCAACCCTTCTGCAAACAGCGTCCTTTCTTCCCCCAGCTCTGGAAGGGGCCCTGCAGCGCTCCTCTGCACAACCTGACAATTCCTCCGACAGTGACTACGATCTCCACGGGGCTCAGAGGCTGTAAAGGTGAGCCCGTCCCCAGCCTGACCCCGCACCCCAGGGCCCCCCACAGCCCCACCCTGCCCCACATGAACAGGGGACCCCCAGCAACATGACCCTTGGAAAGACAAACGCCAGCTGTTTAGGTTAGAGGAGCTGGTTTGGCAGTTAGAGCTTAGCAATCGACTCTGAAACTCCATTCGGAAGGCCGCACAGGCAGCGTCCCTAAGAGCTCCGTGATGGAGCCACATGCCTCTAGAGCTGCCAACCTGCCAGCAGGGAGAAGGAGCCCCCGGTGCAGGACAGCAGCCGTCCCCGAGATGGAACCTGAAGCATGGGGCCTGCCCGCCACCTCCTGCATCGCCTTGCGGTGTCTCCTCTAACACATTCCTTCTCAGCCCACAGAACTGGGATTCAGGTGCAAAAAACCAAGAGCCAGCCCTACTTGTCCTGAGAAAACTGTGCATCCTTCAATTGAAACAATGTCCCTATTTCTACCCCAGCCAGAACGTGGACAGAGGCCAGGAGCCTCCCAGCCAGGTGCTGCTGTCCCAAGTGGCAGGCCAGCTCGCACTGCGCTGCACTGCAGCTCACCGCCCCTCCGTGCGTAGAGGCTGTGGTGGGCAGAGCCCCCAAACAGGCAGCCATCCAGCTAGAGACTCGGGGGTGTCTGAAGGGGGCCCCCTTTCCCTGCCCACTGGGGAGCGGCGCCTGAGTGGAATCGGCTTTGTCCTCAGACTCTGTCCCTGCTAAGAAGTGACATGGAGCTCGCAGGGGGGAGTGCCTTTTGAGCATGTTCTTTGTAAATAGCACTTTTCCTCCTTCCTGATCACCAGAGTGCTCCTGCCTCTTCTATGCAGCATCCACCCCTGTGCATCCCTCTGCAGCCGCGGTGGTCAAAGGCTACGCACCTGGACACAAAGACAGCTCAGCGTGTTCACAGCAGCTGCCAGCCAGGGGGCTGGGTGGGCACCAAGGCTCCGTGTTTGTGAGGCCTGACCCACAGCCGTACCCAGTTCCCTCCATCTTGTGACTCCCCTCCCCAACCCCCTCATCTAAAGACTCCTTCCTCTCCGGAGAGCAGGGACCACTGGCTGTCGAGCCCACTGGGCACCAGTGCCACCCAGCGCCCTGCACAAAGGGGCACCTGGTAAACCCTAACCAACTTGCTCTTTGGCTTCACACAGCAGCAAAAAGTCCCAAGCTGAGGTGGTTTCAGCACATCACAGTTCATCTAACCCAAGAGTCTGAGCTGGGGCTGGTCACGTTCCTTCGGTTTAAATAACTCCCTTGACTAAAATAGACTCCTCTAGCACTCAGAGACCTTGGCTGTACACCTAATCCTGTGGGGCCTCAGCTTCCTTAACTACGAGTGAGAGGAGGAGGTCTACCCAGGGACCTCAGGTCTGATAAAGGGGAGGCCAGGCAGAGCTCCCTGTGGCAGCTCCCTAAGGTGGTGAAGCAACGTGGAAACACATCTTGGGGCTGAGGCCTTTCTCCACGCCATTTGATGCTGTATCTCCTGGGAGCACAGGCATCATTGGTCCAAGCCACAGAGGCTAAGTCTGGAAGAGCAAAAGGGAGTTACTCGGATGTGGGGTGGGGTGTTCCCATGATCTGCTCATCCGTCTGCCCCCACCAACACCCTCCAACCAGGCCTTGCCTTCTGAGAGCCCCCGTGGCCAAGCCCAGGTCACAGATCTTCCCTTGACCATGCTGGGAATCCAGAAACAGGGACCCCATTTATCTGCCCATATCTGGTGGAGGTGAGGGGACTCCTCACAAGGGAATTGAGAGGCTGCTGTTAGGGAGGGGCAAAGGATCGGGGCAGCCGATATCTCCCATCAGTTCCTTTTTTTCATAAAACCTCTTTAATCTGGGCCGGGCGCAGTGGCTCACACCTGTAATCCCAGCACTTTGGGAGGCTGAGGCAGGTAGATCATGAGGTCAGGAGTTCAAGACCAACCTGACCAAGATGGTGAAACCCCATCTCTACTAAAAATACAAAACTTAGCCAGACGCAGCGGCAGGTGCCTGTAATCCCAGCTGCTTGGGAGGCTGACGCAGGAGAATTGCTTGAACCCAGGCAGCAGAGGTTGCGCCACTGCACTCCAGCCTGGGTGGCAGAGTAAGACTCCGTCTCAAAAAAAAAACCTCTTTAATCTATAGTTTGGTCACCATAGAGTGGCCTCAAAGCAACCATGGCCTACTTAAAACCCAAACCCAAAATAGAGTGTTTCGTTGAGGAGAAATGAGTCTTTAGAAAACTGTTTTTCAACGGGTGGCAGGCTTGGGTGACGCATTTCAAAAAGCTGTTTGGTGATGCAATGGAATAGAACCGTTTTAGTCTTCAACGTGCCGCTGAAGAGTTGCTGCCTTGGCTGGTGAAGAACCCACTGCTCCCCCCACCAGTGCTCAGGGGGCTGTCATCCGTCTCCCTCAGCTGCCGCGACCTCGACAACCTCCCCATTCCTGCAGCCCAACAACCTGCTAGAGCCGGGCCACGGCTTCCACTCACCTGTGTGGCCCTCCAACCCTACCCATTCCCTAAATGACATTCCCAGGTAAACCATGTGACCTGGCCGATGAGTGTTTGAGTGTGCAACCCCCGATTCCAGCACATTAGGTCAAGGAAACGAGGACCAAGCAACAAGTCTGGCTTTCAAGTTGTCATATAGCTGAGCATGGTGGCTTAGAGCTATAATAACAGCACTCTGAGAGGCCAAGGTGGAAGGATTGCTTGAAGCCAGGAGTTCCAGACCAGCCTGGGCAACAAAGTGAGACCCCATCTGTACCATAAAAAAAGTTTTTAATTAGCTGAGCATGGGGCCACATGCCTGTAATCCGTTCCTCAGGAGGCCGCTGCAGGAGGATCACTTGAGGCCAGGAGTTTGAGGCTGCAGTGAGCCACGATCTCACCATTGCACTCCAGCCTGGGCAACAGCGAGAGCTCCTCTCTTAAAAAAAAAAAAAAAAAAAAAAGGCTGGGCACAGTGGCTCCTACCTGTAATCCCAGTACTTTGGGAGGCTGAGTGGGCGGATCACTTGAGGTTGGGAGTTCAGCACTAGCCTGGCCAACATGGCAAACCCCATCTCTACTAAATATACAAAAAATTAGCCAGGCATGGTGGCACACACCTATAATCCCAGCTACTCAAGGGGCTGAGGCAGGAGAAATGCTTGAACCTGGGAGGCGAAGGTTGCAGTGGGCTGAGATGGCGTCACTGCACTCCAGCCTGGGCGACAGATGAGTAAGACTGTTTCCAAAAAAAAAAAAAAGTTGTCACACATGCAGAGATGTGGGAGTACGGCGTGGAACCGAGCTGTAGGGACATGGATTCACACGGCCTCACCATAGCCAGCACCGCAAAGCGTCCTAAGTTAGGACTCTTTGAGACTCTAAGCTTGTCGCCTAGGGTCTGCCCCTGCAGGAAGTCCACTGTGGACTGGTGAAAGCGGCCAGTGAGCTCCTGGGGATGCAGGGAGGAGGCATGAGGAGTGCCTGTGTGTGCTGCCCTGAGGTCAGGTGGCCAGGGAGAGGGGGAGCAAAGAACACAGGGCAGACACGCGGGCTGACCAGCTGAGGCAGCTCGACGGTCCTTTCTTAGAAAGTCAACCCCTCTGTGCCCCCTGCCGCCACTCTGGTACCAACCCAAGGCAAGTGACTTGACTGTGTGCCTAGAGGGAGATTTGCAGCTTCTTCCTACAAAGCCAAGTTGCTTCCAGCTTTCCCTGATGTCCTGTGTCCTCAGCCTTGGACACTTGCAAGGCAAAGCCAGAGTTCAGCTGGAGGTAAAGGGTAGTAAACACCTTACAGAAGCCCAGCGACTCTCAGGTGTGTCCTCAGGAGGCACTTCTGGCACCACAAAGGCAGGGAGGAGCAGCCCCTGGGGCCTCTGAAATCCAACAGCCTGGGCCAAGTCCCACCTCCTCCAAGGCTGTGCAGCCCAGTCCAAGTCCCACCGCCCTGTGGTTTCCTCCCATTGAAACCGGGGATGAAAGGGCTGTTGCGAGTTTCCAGAAGATAATGTAACTGAAAGCACAGCACGGCCTGCGGCCCTGCTGAATATTTAACGCTAATGATTCTCGGCATCTCTAGGCATCCTCCCGTCACCTTGCATGGAAGGAAAGGCGGAGGGCTGACTCGAGGGACTGTTAGAAGCAGGGTCTCCGGACTCCCTCAAAGCTGCCCTTCCTGCTGAGCTGAAGATGCCCTCCCCAGCCTCGGGATAGGCAGCTCAGCAGCAGAGCTTGGGGTGCCGCAGGAGAGGGAGGCAGGCTGGGCCACGGCATAGAAGACTTCTATGGCAGCAGCCAATTTAGCGACCCGCTGCCTCTGAGCACATCCTGCAAGGCCAAGTGAGAATTACATGGGTCACAGACAAGCCAACAGGCAGACGTCCTGCCAGCCCAGCAGGTGGCAGGAACAAGGCACCTCCCAAGTGCACTGATGACCAGACGCCCTCTCGTGGCATCCTGTGGCCTCGCACGCCACCATTCTCAGGCTCCAACAGGAAAACAGCTAAGAAGGAAGGCGGAAGAGCGGGAGAGGGAAGGTAAACGCTCTAAGGGCCAGCCTTGGGTCGAGGGGGCAGGGGAGGGCTGACATCCAGATGGACAGGGCTTTGGGACCTGAATCACAGAGGCCCCCCCCACCAAGAGAGCATGATGTGAGGGCTGCAGAAGAAATCAAGGCTCCCACATGCAGCCATATCTTCACTCTCAAACCCACCAGCACCACCACACATGTGACTCATCAAAGTTTATTATGGCAATTAATTACACAAACATACAGGCGATCCGTTGTCCAGCTCAGAAGCACTCAAACCAGTAGAGTCCATTAGTGATTTCTCTTTATAAATAACTTAGGAGAAGCAAGCACATTTGGTAAGGAACCGACAGCGCTGACGTAGCGTCACGCAGATGGCACGAGGCAGGCCGGGGAGGGGCAGGCACCAGAAGGTCAAGAGCCCTCCCTGGCCCCAGCAGCCCCAGGCCCACCAGATGCTGGGTTCTCAGGTAGTGGACATTTCAAGGCACATACAACTTCCTAAGCAATAGCAGCTCCAGGCTCTTCCCTGAGACCTGGTTTACCTCCGGAACAACCAAGTTAACACTCAGCACACCCCCCTCTGTCTACTGTCTTCAATCTTATCACTGAACCTGCCCCACAGGGCAGGGGGCTGTGTATTAAAGTCATAATCCCCGCCCTTTACATTCTGAAGACAAGGGAGGTACAAAGCAACTGCCTCTAATGTAGTGATGGTGTTTTTTAAAAGCACCTCTTGGGAAGTTAGGTTAGGGCCTCTTTTGATGTCTGTCTCAGGATGGACACTGGGGGTAGGAGGATTCCATCAAAGGAAGGAGGGGAGGGGAGGTGGAGGAAAGGGCTGCTTGTGAATGAGAATCAAGGCACTAAAGGAGCAGATGGATGGATGGATGCAAGTGTGGGCCTCGGGCAAAGTCACCCTCAAGTGGAGGCCCCAGAGGACAGAAGGGTGGCTGGGGAGGTGACCTGCCCTCCACTCCTAAACAAGCCCCAGTGTGACCACAATCTCCAGGCCTAGAGCTGCCCCCTTCCCTCCGGCCAGAGGGCCCAAGGCAGCGCCCTGGCTTCTCCAACCAGGGCAAGCCATGTCCGGGGGCAATCTTCACAACCCCCAGCCCTCATGCTGCCCTGGTGCTGCCCCCACTCAAACAGGACACAGGACAAGCTTGTCTGACATCAGCTACTAGAGTTAAATTATGGCTTTATAGGACTCAAACCTGTTTTTCCCAGCTCTGTTTTCTCCCTCCAATCCAACCCCTGCCGCACTGCATGGGAAGGCCAGCCTTCAATGGACTGGACAGACGCCAACAGCTGTACCCCTCAGCATGAGGCTCCACGTCCAATATGCCAAACCCCAGGGGAGATGGAGGGGACTGGAGACCCAGGGTCTCTTCCTCGAGATACCTCGGCACTGGGTTCAGATGGCCCTGAGTGCAGCCACAAGCAGATGCTCATACTTGCGGGCACGCACTCACTCACACAGACACCTTGAGAGGTGCTGGACTCCCACCTGGCTAGCACCCGCAGCCAGGCACTGAAAGGAGGGGCTTCCAGGAGGACCTCCAGCCAAAAAGCCAGCAAGTGCTGTGACCAGTCACACAGCCCAGAGCCTGGTCCCTCCAAGGCCTCTGTGTACCGACACAAGTCCACAGGGAGCACCAACGCCACGTCCAGTGGACCCTCGAATCTCAGCGATGGCTGGGCCAGAGGTTGAGCGTGGGTGGGACTAGGGAGGGACCGAGGGCCAGGAGTGTGTCTAATACCCAGGCCAGGCAGGCCCCTGGGGCTGTGGAAACCCATAGGGAGGGGCAGGCCCGGGGGGATAAGGGGGCTGCGGGGGCATGGAGGGTTTGGGCTGGCCTGGGAAGCCAGGGAGCTGGGGCTGTATTGGGTAGGGAGGTTTTCCTCCTGCTTCGGGGTATAGGGACTGCTGAGGATAACCAGGACTGGGGAGCCTGCCTCCCGTCACAGGGTACCCTGGCCCAGAGGCACCAGTCGGGGTCCCAGGATAGCCCGGCCGGGGTGGCATGCTCCTCTGTGGGGACCAGGAGTAACCTGCAGCAGCCCTGGGTCCAGGCTGGGCTGCCGGGTAAGTGGGGCCCAGAGGCCCGCTGTAGAAGGAGGGCTGGGACACCACCGGGAAAGGGGCGGGTGGCAGGGCTCCATGGGCAGTGGGGCCCACAGGCAGGCTAGGGGACGGGCTGTAGGGCAGAGGGTAGGGAGGCATGGCCGATGACGGCGGCTGCGGCTGCTCTTCAACCACAGGGGGCGTTGCCTGGGGTACTGGGCGCGGCGGTGGTGGCGGCGGGCGGGGTGGAGGGGCATCGCCGGCCAGCTCCTGGGAAGCCCTGGGCTTCCTCACCACTTCCTGGAGCTTTTCCACGCGAACTCGGCGCAGGTGGGACAGCATCCTCATGGAGGAAAAATCCTCCAGGAACATTTCCAGGGGCACCTCGCCCTCCAGGAACTTCTCAGCCATGGCCTGGAAGACATAAAGTCCAGTGACAGCAGAGGCCAGCTGGGATCAAGGCCTCTTGCTTTTCCCCGGGGTCCAAGTTCGGCTGCAGCCCTCCCACCTTGTACCTCCTCAGATACCCACTACCCTTCACTGGCCATGTGCCCCTTCTCACAGCTGGCATATGGTACACACACTGTCTCCCTCACTAGAATATCACTCCCTTGAGGGCGAGAACGATCCCTGTCATGGCACCTCTGTCCTGGCACCCTGGCATCATGCCAGGCCCACAGAGGCCACTGCACTTATGTGCTGAACACTTGGATAAGCACTAGCCCAGGGGCTAGGAGGGCCTGGAAGCTTCTTCCTCCCAGACACGGAGGAGTAGGCAGCGCCAGCTGCCCACAGAGGCTGAAGAGGTGCCTGGAGGGGAGCAGGAAGCAGGGAGAATGGAGTGGGGGACTGGCCTCGGTCCCTGGGGAACCCCTGCTGTGCTGCTCTCCCATCCAGGGCTGCCAGCCGCCCTTATCCACTGTCACCCGTTTCTGCTTCAGCTGGTGGGACTGGGTTCCTGTTATTTGTATCCCCAAAGGCCTCCCCAGGACTAAAGCTGTCCTTCCCCTCTGCCATCTACGAAAGCTCCCTTGTCCCATGCTTTGCAGACAGACATCTGCTCCTCTTCCAAGGGCCCCTGCTGCAGGGACTGACGCCCTGTCCAGGGAAGAGGGGTGTCGCCTCGCCTCTCACCTCGGACTCTTCTTCAATCTTCATGCCTTCCACCTGCAGAAGGTCTAACAAGGTCCCTGGCTGCAGTGCTGAAGAAAATTTCTCTGGAAGGGAGGGCAGAATGGCTGACATTTGAAAAGTGCTTCCTAATTCAGTGTCAAAAGCATTCTGTGTCCATCCAGGCCCAGACACCACCCTGGGGTCCACCAAAGGGTCCTTTCAAGTGAGCCTGATGGGTGCTTTTGATCCAGTTCCTAAGACCACCTTCCTGAGCAGAGAAGGGCCCAACTGGACCCAGCCTGGACCTTGGCCAAGCAGCCTCCCCTACACCGTCCTGGGAAAAGAAAGGACTCGGGCTTCAGAGCCCAACTGACCCAGCTCTGCCTGCCAGCCAGCAGAGTTACCTAACCTGAGTGTCAAGCTCTCTCACCATCAAGACAAGGACCGCCCTCCCACCTTCACAGTGGGACACAGACACAGGTTCTGGGACACAGAGCCCAGAGCAGCTCAGCAAACCACAGAGGCTAAGCTGCCAGGGTAACAGCAGTGGCGAAGGAGGCAGACTGTCTGGATTCAAATCCCAACTCCACCTATTTCTAAGCCGGCTGACCACAGCCAAGTTCTTCAATCTCTGAGCCTCATTTCCCTTACCTATAAAATGGAGTAACAGTGCCCACCCTTCTAAGGCTGTTGTGAAAAAATGTACATAAAGCGCTTAGCACAGGGCTGGGAATGAAGTGGGCCTCGGTAGCTATGGGCCTTGCCCATCCCTGGGAGGGGACAGAGAATCCTTCATGCTGTTTTGGCTGCTCAGCCTCATCCAATCCTGAATGGGGACCCTGAGTTCACAGAGTGGCCACCCTACCCAACTTTGTCTTCTGCTCCTGGCACCGCTCCACGAGCTTCCGGAGCTCCTGGTATTTATCCGAGAGGTTTGAACGGCTGATCTCCAGGGGACCCTGGAACTCCAAGTTCCGTTCAGCCAGGCTCCGGTTGGTGGCCAGTGCCATCTCCCGTTCCAGCTGCAGGTCCTGGACCTAAAGGGCAGGACAGCAGACCGTAAGGAAAACGTCATCACCATCAACCTTCCCGCAGCCCAGGTCAGGGGCTTTAGGGGAACATGGCTAGCTCACCTTGGGGTCGAGAGGCTCATCTTGGGGCGATACTCAGCTCTCAAACAGTCAGACAAAGCCGAGTTCAAACCCTGAGCAAAGTGCTCTGTGCCTCGCTTAATCCTTAACCCACCACCCACGAGGTGGAGACGCATGAGAACCTGGCGCCGAGGGTGAAAAGGTGACATGACTGACACCCAAGATGGAGTGTGCAGAGCCCCAAGGAGGCGGGGACCAATTTACGTGAGAAAGTCAGAGGCTTTCTAGGAGGAAAGGAACAAAAAGTCCCAACTTCTTATCCCCAAGCTTCAGAGTCCAGAGACCTACCATGGTGGACTCCAGTGGCCCTGGCAAGATGCACAGGCAAGACAAGCAATGAGGCCCAAAATAAAGTTACTCTGAGGGGTGACAGCCCAGGCCCCAGACCAGACCAGACCATGCTGCCGACTCAGGAGGGACCTGAACCTGCCTCCTATGCGGCATATGTGTCCTGCAGAGAAGCTGCACAGATGAGCTAGATGGGTCACATTGGACATTCCCTGCTGAAGAAACTTCCCCAGGCCAAGCGGCACTTTTCCCCTCTGCCAGGCTCTTCGTCACTGCCAGCCAGTGAGGCAGAAGCCAAGGCACCCTTCCTAGCTGTCCGTGACCTCATGCCCCAGGCACCTGCCAAGGGGGAAGGCCAAGGAGTCAGACCCACACGCTGAGACAGCGGTGACAGTATACTGATAGCACCACAGGGCACCAGAAGAGAAGCCTCAACAGCCACCACAGGGTGCAGGGAACAGCTCAGCAAGACTGACTCTGGGTCAGGCCCTGCATGGTGCAGCTTCTCCGCCATGGTCAAATGTTACAGACCAAGCCAGACTGGCTCCTGCCGCATCAGACACAGGAAGCCTGTGGGCATTCTGGAAGAGGAGACTTCAGGGAAAGCCTGCCCCTCCTGCTGTCCCAGCTACAGGGGCCCGGGCCCTGCACTCTGGGGCAGGCCCACAGCCTCTTCTTTGTGCTCCAGATTGGAAAGAGGGCCGCCACAACTCCCTGCCCTCCCTGAGCCCTCCAGACGAGGCTGCCAGGGTTCAGGGATTGTAGGGCCCAGGGGTCTATCCAGCCTACAGCCCATGCAGCTGCCTTCTAGAGATGTGGTCTCAATTCTGTTGCCCAGTCTGGAGTGCAGTGGCACGATCATAGGTCACTGCAGCCTTGAACTCCTGAGCTCAAGCAATCTTCCTGCCTCAGCCTTTCCAGTAGCTGCGACTACAGGTACGCACTACCATGCCTGGCTACGTTTTTATTTTCTGTAGAGATGAGGTTTCCCTATGTTGCCCAGGCTGGCCTCAAGCAGTCCTCCCATCTCATTCTCCCAATAGCTGGGATTACAGGCACAAACCACCATACGTGACTCTCAATCTAACTTTTATTAGTCATGGAGACTTTACTTACACGGCTTTACTTACACCCAGAGTGAAAGGCCTGCGGCCCTCCTGCTCACCCATCCCCTGCAGGGCCTTTCTATCCATCCACGGCCTTTCCCTGCGTCTAAACCAACACATCTATGCTGCATCATTTTCCCCTAAATCTTGCCCTACTCTTCTCTGCTCCCTGTTCCCACAGCCTTCCAAATCTTTCTCCGTGAAGTGGGTCAATGAGTAGAAACATACAGTTAGATAAAAGAAATAAATTCTAATGTTCAACAGCAGAGTGGCGTGACTATGGCCGGCAATAATGGATTGCGTATTTCAAAGTAGCAAGAAGCATGAAACGTTCCCAACACACGGAAATGATAAATACTCAGGTGATGGAGACCCTAAATGCCCTGACCTTATAATTACATATTCTTTTTTTTTTTTGAGACGGAATTTTGCTGTTGCGCAGGCTGGAGTGCAATGGCATGATCTTGGCTCACTGCAACCACCACCTCCTGGATTCAAGTGATTCTCCTGCCTCAGCCTCCCTTGTAGCTGGGACTACAGGCACATGCCACTACACCCAACTAATTTGTATATTTTTAGTAGAGACGGGTTTCACCATGTTGGCCAGGCTGCTCCCAAACTCCTGACCGCAGGTGATCCTCCCACCTTGGCCTCTCAAAGTGCTGGGATTACAGGCGTGAGCCACCACACCCAGCCTGATCATTACACATTCTATGCATTGCAACAAAGACTCACATCTACCTCATAAATATGCAAAATATGCGTCAATTTAAAAAATTGCATATTGATGCATATTAGGGGTTCAGTGTGAAGTCCTCCCCGTCACTGAAAAGAGGTAAGACTGAAAATAGGTAAATAAAAGCTGTTTCCACGTTTTGCTTTGGTATATTACTTTGGTGGAAATAAGCAGAGAGAATCTATACTCATACAGATATTTATGGGGTAGATGTGAGTCTTCGTCGCATGCATAGAATGTGCAGTGATCAGGCCGGGTGAGGTGGCTCAGGCCTGTAATCCCAGCACTTTGGGAGGCTGCGGTGGGCAGATCACCCTTGGTCAGGCGTTTGATAGCTGGAAAGGAAGGAGTTGCTACTAACCTTTACATACAATTATCAATTTTCTCTGAATCTACAGCAAAACTCAGCAAGAATTATCTAATAGTTCTTAAAAGTTACAGTGTGAAATTTTAAAATTAGCCAGGGGTGGTGGTGTGCACCTGTAGTCCCAGCTACTCAGGAGGTTGAAACGGAAGGACTGTCTGAGATCAGGCCGTCGAGGCTGCGGTGAGCCATGATGGCACCACTGCACTCCAGCCTGGCAACAAAGTAAGACCCGCCTAAAAAAATAAAACTTTTAAAAAGTTGCAATGTGGGAGATAAAACCATTCTAACTTTCCTTACTAAATTGCAATGTTGTTTTTCTCTGTCTGGCCCCCAACCCAAAGCAGCTCCCCGCTCACCCCACTCCAGGCACAGCCTTCTGCATGGACAGCCTCTGCCAACTCTCTTCTCTCCAAGCCGTGTCCATGTCCCAGACTAAGAGAGAGCTCCTGTCTCCTCACAATCCCACAGTGACTCGGTTACTGTCTTAGAATGCACAACAGGAAAGCCCCAAGTGGCCTGTCCTGCTTCATTTCCACCCAATCCACTGGTGTTTTGTCCGTCAGAGTTCAGATGAACGGGACAGGTGTGACTACACAGCACAAAATTCAAGTGCCTTCTACCCAAGAGGTCGCCACTGCTCACATTCTCCATGATTCTCCGCTTTGCCGCAATTCTGTCAGCCTGCTCAGCCCTGCACACTCTAGCAGCAGACCTTGGACTTCCCATGGCACCATGCTCTTAGTGCTTAATATGTGACAGAAGACAGCAGGCAGAGCCGCTCTGTGTGCAGCACCAGGCCAGCCAGGAGCCACGCCCTGCCAGAGCTCACAGCCTCCCTGACCATGTGAGTCGGCCCCGAGGCTTAGACAAGCAGGCTCTGCTCCACATGTGCTGGGGACTGAAAAAGCCTTAGGATGGGAGGACGTGCCCACGGTGTCCACCTCTCCTCATGCTCTGCCCACCAGGAAGTCTTTTCAACCCCACGTTCAGTCACCGACATGGGCAGTAGGGCAGGCTGTGGGCGGCAAGAGCGCACGCCGAACAGGAGCAGGGGACTCACGCCTGGCACCCCTACGGCATGGGAGCACGCAGACACTGGATGGGGGAGCGTCAGTATTTTTTTCAAAATACTGCAAGTTCACAGAAGAGACGTACCATACCTGCTCATCCAAGCAAGCAAAAGTATACTCCAAATGCAAATCAAAGGGGCTGGCATTACTTGCGTTTGTGTCTCTCCCTCACGTTAGAGACAGGAAGCAGGAACTTCCAGAATAGCAGATGAGTTGCAGACACTCAAGGGGTGACCGTGAGTATTTCTGGCTGAGTGGCCTGACCTCTCCCATCTCACAGAGGACATCCCAGGGTCACAGGAGATGCTAGGGGCAGGGAACGTCCTTTAATCAGTGCAAATCTCTGCACAGGCAGAAAGGTTCGGCTTGCTTCCAGAAGGGCTCTGTGATGAAGAGCGAGAGGAGGAGGGGCCGGCCATGAGGAAAAGCAGGATCAAATGGGAGACGAGCTACATCTCAGCCCAAGCGCGGCTCCCAGAAGTCTTAGAGTCACCTGGAGAGACGGCATCACACAGGGCTCTTAGGGAAAAGTAGGTCTAAAACCATACCAGTGCTTTGAGGAGCGGCCTCCAGATCTGGGCTGGAACGACAGTGTGGGGACTCCTGGGGTATCTGGGTCCCTGGAAGGCCCCAGGAGGCCCTGCCCTCCCCAGCACTGCCAAGAACTCCCAGGAACTGGTCTGAGGCTTTAGGGATTCCTCCGAGTCCAAAGCAGGATGAAGTTCACAGAAAAGGGAGGTGAATTTGGCTAAAACTCCCAAGAAGCTGGCACCCTTAAAAAGTGCCTCTTAACAAGCCTCATCTGCTGGCCTCTGTCGGGCCCCATCCCAGCCTCCCTCTACCTCAGGGGACTCTAGGGCCAGCCGGTCAATCGCCTCCGAGTCATTCTGCAACTCCTCCAGCTCCTGCAGAGTCTTGTCCTTCAGCGTCTCCATCCTCGCCTGCGAACAGAGTGACACTAAAGTGAGGAACGGGAAGCCCAAGAGGAAGGGAGCCCCGAGCCTGCACATGTTATTTGTCAAAAACAAACTGGAGTTTTCCTGCGATAACACCACTCCCCGGGAAGGCTCGCGGAGGGACAGAGAACCCTGAGAGCAGACTCCTGCAGCTCCCCGGCCCCACCTTCCCTAGGGGGACCAAGGAGCCGTTCCTTCCTCCCTGTCATGAACAATAGGGTAAGTGAAACTACTCACAGCCAGAAGCAAAACTAAAATCCCTCAGGTGCTAGATGGAGCTCCCCATGGGGCAGAGGAAAAGGCAGGAGGAGAGGGCCAGGCAGCAGGGACGGAGACTAAGTTTGGCCCAAGGCTGCCCGCAAGCACTGATGCCATCCTGGCCTCTGGCAGGTGTCTATTTCTGTCGGAACCAGGAATACGCCAAGCTCCACACAGGGGGGCTTTGCTGGCTTCGACATCGCCGGTTCAACTATGTCACCGCTGGTTATATTTAGTGTTCCAGACACCTCAGGTTTCCCTCAAGAATTCCCCACAACTGTGGTCCTCTCCATGTGTCACCAAAATGAACTGTCGTATGTGTATCCTCGTAGGAGCAGGGGAAAAAAAATCACCCAGTTGGCCTCATAGGCAATCAGGAGGAAAAGAAACTGACCGACCCAAAGAGGACATCTGCTCTGACGGAGAGCTGGTGTCAGCGGCCCTCTTCCTGTCACTCTGCCCAGAGGGCCATCGATTGTCTGTGTGGTGGATGGGTCACAGCCAGGCCCAGGGGGAAGCCCAGGGACTGAAGGGAGGAGGCACAAACACCCCGGCACCTGCCTCCCTTCTGCTAACAGGGTCCTCCATTTTCATCTGGCTTGTATCTTTTCCAGAGGTGAATTCCATCGCTTTTTTTTTTTTTTTTGAGACACAGACTCATGCTGTTGCCCAGACTGGACAGCAATGGCGCAAACAGAGCTCACTGCAGCCTTGATCTCCTGGGCTCAAATGGTCCTCCCACCTCAGCCTCCCGAGTAGCTGGCACTAGAGGTACACATCACCACCTCCAGCTAATTTTTAAATTTTTTTTAGAGACAGGGTCTCACTATTTTGCCCAGGCTGGTCTCAAACTCCTGGGCTCAAGCGATTCTCCCACCTTGGCCTCCCAAAGTGGTGGGATTACAAGTATGCACCATGGTGTCCGGCCCCAAAGCTTTAATGTTGGTTTTTCTCATTACAAAAGTTTAGTTTTCAAAAGATTCCAACATCACAGCAATCTAGGGTCCTTTACAGCACACCTGCACCAGCACTCAGCTAGGGTGAGCCAAGGCTGACGACCCAGCTGAGAAGGCATTCTAGAATCAAGAACCAAGGTTACAGCTGTGTGGTCCGATGCAACCTTCTCCAGGTCTCAGTTTCCCCCTTTGCAGGAGGAAGGAAACAGCATCTCCTAGGGCCATCAGAAAGACAAAAGGAGAACTGAGAAACAACGAGCACATGTTCCCAGGTGCCCCGAAGTCCCAGTGCACGCCTCAGGGGAACCCCCAACGCTCAAGCGTGCCCTAGTTTAAACAATAAATCATATGGCCACTGATAAGGAGCTATGCATATAGGGGCGTGACTAGTATTTATCTCCTGAGGGTTAAAAGTGGCCCCCAACCTCTAAGCAGGGATTGCCAAACTTCAGTGCGTGCCTGAATTCCAGGAACACTCACTGATGACACAGGTGGCCAGCCCCTCCCACACATCTCTGCATCAGTAGGTCAGGGCAAGACCGAGAAATCTGGAATCCCCCCTGGAGAGACTGACACAGGTGGCCCAGGGCCAGCTGCATCACAGTGGAGACCCCTAGTTTTCTGAGCATGTCCGGTATCAGTTTTCCCCAGGCTGTCTCCTCTAACAAGGAGAGGTGGCAGCAACCACGTCATATGCAGACAGGGCATCTGAGCGGTAGGAGTCACAGCCAGCAAATGGCAGGGCCAAAATTCAAACCTGCATTCTGTCCACACCTCACCTTACTGCTCCAAAAACCCTTGGTCTAAAGCCCGAGAGCCAGGTTGGACACACTGGCTCACACCTGTAATCCCAACACTTTGGGAGACCAAGGTAGAGGGCTCATTTGTGGCCAGGAGTTCAAGACCAGCCTAGGCAATATAGCATCCGATTGTAAAAATTGTAAAATAAAATAAGAGAAATAAGAAAAGCTGGGACAGGCACGATGGCTCATGCTTGTAATCCCAGCACTTTGGGAGGCCGAGACAGGCAGATCACATGAGGTCAGGAGTTCAAGACCAGCCTGGCCAACATGGTGAAACCCCATCTCTACTAAAAAAAATTAGCCAGGCGTGGTGGCACACACCTATAATCCCAGCTACTCGGGAGGCTGAAGCACCAGAATCACTTGAACCTGGGAGGCAGAGGTTACAGTGGGCAGAGATCATGTCACTCCACTCCAGCCTGGGCATCTGAGCGAGACTCCGTCTCAAAAAAAAAGAAGAAAAGAAAAGAAGTAAAAGCTGGAGCAGGGGAAGAGTAGCCTGCAGACGGCTGGGCTGGAGCAGGACTCTGGGAGGAACCCTGCCAACATACCCCAAATCCAAACCCCAAAGAGCTGGCCACAGCAGGAGCAACACTGTGAAGATGCCAAAACACGTCAGGGGCCCAGGCTTCAGCCAGCCAGACACAGTTCGAGTCCAGGCCCTGCCGCAGGCACAGGCAGAACCTCCCTGAGCCTTGAGCTCTTCACCTGGAAAATGAGTCTCACACCAGTACCTCCCTCACAGGGTGGGTGCAAGGTTCAATGGGATGGCACTGGCAAGGTGCTGGCTCGATGCCAACAGATTCCAGTACCACAGCAATGACTTCTCATGAATGCCCCAGCATGACCCAGCTGAGAACTCACCCAGCCACAGCAGCTGTACCCAGGCTGGCTCCACCTAAGGGGACACCCGCCACAGAGCACCTGCTCGCTCCTGCAGTGAGGGCTGGGCGCCGCAGATGCACCTGGCTGGAGGACGAGCTCCGTCTCAGGCAACTGGCCGACCACACAGAAGCAGCACAGTCAGCACTGCCGTCTGCGAAAGCACCCAGCAGGTTCAGGACTCAGTCTCCCACATGGAGGTCTCCACGCGTGGGGAAGCCCCGAGAAGAGATGAGATTCCCTGGGACAGGCACCAGCTCCCCCGCCAGCTGTTTATCATAAGAATGTCACCAGATGTTCCACGAATAACACATTCGAGGCACCACAGCCTCGAACAACACATCACACACTTCTCGGTCTCGGGACCTCTGTTCATTCGCAATGTTTCTGAGGACTCCAAAGAGTTTTGTTTCTGTGGATTACAGCTATCAGTATTTACCATGTTAGAAATTGAAAGTGGAAGACAATTTTTTTGAAATAGGGTCTCACTCTATCGCTCAGGCTAGAGTGTAATGGCACGAGCTCAGCTCGTTCCAGCCTCAACCTCACAGACTCAAGCAATCCTCCCACCTCAGCCTCCTGAGTAACCGGGACTACAGGCATGTGTCATCATACCCAGCTAATTCTTTTAAAATTTTTTGTAGAGATGGGGTCTCACTATTTGATCCAGGCTGGTCTCAAACTCCTGTACTCAAGTAATCCTCCCGCCTCGGCCTCCCAAAGTGCTGGGATAACAGGTGTGAGCCACCACACCGAGCCGAGAAATTTTTAAAATACAAGAACGCGCAAGCAACACCTTCCACTGGCCACCAGAATGATGACGTGATCACAGGTCATAGAGCCTCTGAAAACTGCCCTGTATACTCATGCAAGAAAAGAGAGTGAAAAAGAAAATGTCGTCTCAGGATTATTATGAAAACCACTCTAACCTCATGGACGGCCTGAAAGGGTCTTTGAAAACCTCCAGGGATCCCCCTGAAACATACTTTGAGAGCCACTGGTCTAGAGGTTAAGAGGTGAGACTCTGGAGCTGGACTACCTCAATATGACCCCAGCTCTGCCACTTACTAGCTGTGTCATCTAACCTCTTTGTGCCTCAGTTTCTCCATCTGTAAAACAGAGCAGCATGTGGAACACAGTAAGCACCACTAAGCATTTGCTGCTATGAGGACCCTGGCAACCATCTTACACAGCGGGCATCAATATCGCCCCAACCTCACAGGGGCGGCCGAGAGAGTGATGCTACTTTAGAACGGCAATGCCTTAACTGGTCCTGGGATTCTCAACATGTCCCTCAGAGTCACCTTGAGTCCTTGTTTAAAGCCAGAGTCCTAAGTCCTCCTCCAGACCTAGAACTGTAGAATCTCCAGGATTCCTAATTTTTCTTTTTTAAGACAGAGTCTTGCTCTGTTGCCCAGGCTGGAGTGCAGTGGCGCAATCTTGGCTCACTGCAACCTCTACCTCCCACGTTAAAGCAATTGTCTTGTCTCAGCCTCCCTAATAGCTGGGATTACAGGTGCCTGCCACCAAGCTAGCTAATTTTTGTGTTTTTAATAGATATGGAGTTTTACCATGTAATCCAGGCTGGTCTCGAACTCCTGACCTCAAGTGACCCACCTGCCCCAGCCTCCCAAAGTGCTGGGATTACAGGCGTGAGTCACTGTGCCTAACCAATTCTTCATTTTTAATGATGTTTTCATTTTAACTAGGCTACCTGGATCTGACTAGTTTGGTATCTATTACCTTATTTTTCCTTTCCCCAGCACTCTGAGGGGACTCAGGTGGACACAGCCCCAACTGACAGAGAAAAAGCAAAGACCCCAGGGAAGAATGGGCTCTGTCACCCAGTCATGCATGGCAGAGGCACAAGAGAACACAGGCAACGCTGTTTCTACAGAGTGAGTCCCCACCCAGGACTCCAAGGGCACTTCTTAAGGCTTGGCTCTGTGTGGGCATGGAGGGACAGGTGACACCCTGTCCCAGCACAAGACAAACAGGACAGGTGACACCCAGGTGCATAAGACAGGGGGCTTTCATGCTGGGATTTAGGTTCCAGATTTGCAGTCATGTGACAATGCACATCGCA